TCAGATGGGATATTAATTGAACTGAATTGGTAATAAAAGTTCAAAATCGGAAAGTACCTTCTGTAATAAATAATGGACAACTGCCCAATCTCTATTAATGTTATAAAACGTTATGACCATTAAGATGGCTGTTGAGTAAACATATTAATAAAAATATAATTCAACCCTAATCAGCTAGCTTCATGACTTTTTATCCAAAATAAGTGCCAACTTTCACGTATTGTAGTAAAAAAAATTTAGCTTTTTTTAGAGTATAATTTGACACAATATTAACTTTTTAGTTATGAAAGTTACCATTTTAATATGGATATTTTTAGTGCGTAACAAAAATATTTGTCATATTTGTAAATATAGGAACAACTTTTTGATATTGCATATATATATATGAAAATGATATACTTCACATTAGTCATATCACTGACCAATTTTTTTTTGGTTGAAAATTTTAGTTTAAGTAATATTGTAGTTTTCTTATTGATATATAAGTATATTAGTGATATGCTTCATTTTCGATGTATTGCTTATATAACTGATATACCTAATATGTGGTATATCAATTACACTAAATATATAATTAAATACTTCATAATAGGTATAAAACACTAATAAATTTTCTTTCGATGGAAGATTTTAGTTTAAGCAACATTGTAATGTTCATATTGACATCTCAATAATATATCAGTGATATATTTCATTTTAGATATAACACTTGTATAACTAATGTATGAAGTATATCATTAATATAACTTTTTTTAAAAGGAAGTATATCACTAATATATCTTAATATCTAATATACCTCAATGTGAAGTATACACTAATATCTTGGTATTAGATATACCAATGCGAATGGTATAATCGATCTTTCCTTTTCTTATCATTAGGACCGAGCCTCTATTTTTTGCTATATTCGCAAATCAAAATGCAGTGGCTATGCAATTAACTATTAATTTTTTCCTATATTTGCAAAGTGGCCTTTTAATATCATCATCTAATTATTATAAAACATTGTCTAATTTAAAACATTTATTTTGAATTACAACCCCATAGAAGTGCTAGATGTAAAAGAAGCCAGTGCTGGTTAATATATTATAAAGTTTTTGTTACCATCATTACTAGACTAAATTATATATGATAAATTTTTTAAAATGAAATAAAATCCACTTGCTCATTACGGTGACATACCTACTGGATTGGCCTTTTAGCCCAATATTCAGATGTTCATTTCTAAATTTGGGCTGCAAGTATTGTTTATTCTGTCTCATCATGTGTCCATTTTATTAAGGACGTTCAAATTCAACATCTTATTCTCACAATTGATTAGTTCAATTTAAATATAAAGTTGATTTTTTATTCTCACCATATTTCTTTAACTATTTTTATTAAACTTTCTTGAAATCTTATCTAAAGATTTGCTACCACCCTTTTATTTGACAATAAAAAGAATTACTAATTAAAACTCAAATATGAACTTAGCTCATTAATAAATGAAATCAACTCATGTTCTTGAGGTCGGACCTTCGTACCTCCAATTTTATTGTACTAAAAAAACTAAAACTCAAGTAATTACGAGATCATAGAATAGGTGATCAATATAAATTTTGCCTATCAATGATCCGATCATAGCTCCTCCAAGAAAAATAAAATAATACAATAGAAAAATTATTAAAGAACGTTTGGCTCATGCTTTTAATAATGATCTCGAGATTGAGAAATCAAAGTTTGTGTATAATATGTGTTTGAATGGTGCAAAAGAATGAGTTATATACCAAATTCAATATTTGTGACATAGTCCGCGTTTAAATTCAACATGTAATATAACAGGCGGGTTATTTATAAATCTAGATTTGTAAAAGTTGAAGGCTAATTAAAACTCATATAACAAATACATGGATAATTGATAAACGTTTTTTATAATTCAGTATTACACAAACTTAACTTGTAAGCTAAAGACTATAAAGACAATTATAAACCAAACAAGTCAACGATAAGTTTAATTAACAAGAAATTAGGAAACTTCACGGTCTATTATTAGGCATAAATTAATATTGTGGTTGTTGGAGCCCTCAATATGTATGACGTAGCTAGCTAACTCTATATTGATATCACGCCAGGTGATGAAAAATCTCCTAATAGACGGGAATACAATATAAAACTATTGCCAATTTGTTTAGCTAATAGAATATTGAGTGCTATTCTTTTAGTTTATTGCCATTTTGAATTGGCATATTGTTCAATAAATTGAAAAAGGTATATATTACAATCATTGAAAGGTCGTCATAATTTAAAATTAAAGGAGAGAAGAGAATAATAAAATGGAGATGATGGGTGCATGAAAAGTACCCTTATAACGCCATCCATTTGTACATAAAAAAAGAAAACACCAAGTCAAATTTGTCCTCTTTTTTCTTTTTCCTTTTTTCCATCCATTTCCATTAATTAATTACATCACTTATATAAATACAAAATACTCTTACACTTGAAAAACCCAACTCTAAAAATTTACCAAAAGTAGTTGAAATTAAAATCAATCTCAAATATTTTCACCTCCACTTGGATTCATCCCAAGTTTCACCATCAAATTGGTGTTTCCCAAGCTCCTCATAATCTGTGTCATTCACATCATTTTCTTCATCTTCTTCATTAATTTTCTCATGATCAGCCATATTATTATTCTTTTTGTTGCTCCTCAGGCCATCTTTAAGCCAAGCAACCACTTCTTTCATGCTCGGCCGACTCTCAGCATTCCCATCAGTGCATCTCAAGGCAATACTCACAATAGATTTCAGCTCTTCAATGTTGTAGTTTTCCTTCAAACGTGGATCCACGATGTGATCAAAATCTCCCTTTTGAGCATATGGAGTGACCCACTGAACAATGTCCCGTTTTGTGCCATTTGGAAGCTTTTCCAGTGGCTTTCGAGCACTAACAATCTCTATCAGTAAAATCCCAAAGCTGTACACATCGCAGCTTTCAGCAACCTTTCCCCACATGGCATATTCGGGAGCCAAATAACCTAAAGTCCCTTTAACCCTTGTGGTTAAATGAGAGACCCCATCGGGTATAAGCTTTGCAAAACCAAAATCTGCAACTTTTGCTTCGAAATCCGAGTCCAAGAGAACATTACTTGCCTTTATATCTCTGTGTATTATGTGAGGTCTAGCCTCGTGATGCAAGTACCTTCACAGCAGAGACAACATTCAGAAAAAAACAATTTATTATACAAAAATCAATTCAAATTCAAATTTGTGAGGTCTAATAAACAAATTTTGAGAGGATATCACAAATTTTCCTCTCATTTTCCCTTGTTGAGTTTTGTGCAATTTTCTGAACCAAGTGAGGAGAGAGGAAATTAAGCAAAAGCATCTGGGAAAATATACTAATTGGGAATGAAATCATGTATAGTGGAACTCATTCATTTGTTTTAGTACCATGTTAAACTATATCACTAAATCTTACACTTATTAAACTGATAGATTAAGGTATATTTAATCAAATTAATATTCTTTAACACTTACGATAAACCTTCGGCCGCCCCGATGGCTATGTTCACTCTTCGTTGCCAATCTAACAGAAGTTGGTTAGTTAATTGGCCATGCAAATGGGAAAGTAAGCTATGGTTTGGCATATAATCATATACAATAAGTCTTTCATCTCCACCAGCGTAGAATCCCCTCAAACCCAACAGATTTTCATGTCTAACCCTAGCCAGAATCTCCACTTCAACTGCAAACTCCATCTCCGCCTTTGCAGTCATCGCCTTAAGTCGTTTCACTGCTATCTGTAAAATAACAATATCATCATATTAAATCACCACTAAACTTGAAAGCTTAAAATGAGTAGATTAGGTTAGTTAAAAGAGATTGAATAGGAAATTTACCTCAACGCCTTTGCTTGTTCGACCCCAATAAACACTTCCAAATCCTCCCTCGCCAATTTTGTTCTCTTTGCTGAAGTTATTTGTGGCTTGAAGCAGCTCCTTGAGAGTGTAGATTTCCCATGGATAATCCTTGTTGTCTCTGAAACTAACAAAAAGGGAACAAAAGAAAAAAAGTTAAGTCTATTGTTAAACACATCAAAATTATATGAATTTTCCTTCGATGATACCATAATATATACCTGATCTCTGGTTTATTTTGCTGGCTTCCAATGCAACCGAAGCAGCTCCAAACCATATTTCTACAAACAGAAAAATAGAAAGGCAAAGAAACTAAGCTGGCAGGGAAAGTGGGTTTCCTAATAAAACATCCAAGTTCGCAAGAAAGGGCGAATTTTGAACATTCAAACATATAATTTCTGAGATTTCAAAGCAAAAAGGAGGAGTCTTTATGTTGAAGACAAAATGCAGCGCCTTGGAAGTCAAGGGAAATTTGTTAACAAACATATAATTAATTTAAGATAGGTTCCCATTTTTATGTATTTTAGTCCTTGTTTATTAGCTCTTGTCGAGCTGTAGTTTTCATTGGAAATGTCAAATTTTGTGACCCTTTTTTTAAAAGCTATTAGAAAGAATATTTTGGACATCATTCTGCTTCATAATACTAAAATAATTAGGCATATATTTAACGGTACATAAGTGGTGATGTGATCCCTTATTTTATTGGGGAGTGACGCCATTGTGCTGCACTTTGATAATAGGAAATTGATATAATATCTTCACGATTTGAAGATTCTAATATAACTGTTTCATACACACTTTTCTTAGCTAACTGATAGATATATGTAGTTTATGATTTGCCATTGAATAATATTTCACAGGCATCATATTTAATGCAACTCAATTAAAAAAGAAGAAAAAAAAAAGGTTAATTCTGACAAAAAAATGCCCAACCAATGGCGATAAATTTCTCGTATATATCTATCAAATAGATGGTCAAAAAGTCAATATATATATTGTTAGAAAAATGTAGCCAAAACAGGAAGAGGGAGCTGCCAGCAGCCACTGGCTGAGGGCACAGCATCGTGGAGCTGTTGGAAGTCACTAAACAAAGGCAAAAATGTAAGGTGTTTTAACAAAATTGGGTATTTCAAAGTTGGTAATCTTTGAAAAATTATAAAATAAATCTTTTATAAATCTTTTTTTCAAATGTTAACTCAACTTTCAATAAATGTCGAAATAAGTTCTCCAAAAGCTTTCTCAAAAGTTCAGTTAAACTTAAAAATTCATATTTTTTCAAAGGTTGAATTAAGCTTCAAATAATATTTTTCAAAGGTAGCAAGGTTTCAATAATTATCAAGTTAGTTGTCCATAATTCATTATTGTCAAATATTTTTTCGAAGATTTTTATTATTTTTTTTAGTTTTTTTTATTATTTAAGAATCATAATACTATTCTCAATCATTTTTAATCTTTAAACAAGATTCTTTATATTAAAATTCGTAAATGCGTAGAAATAATAGCATTTGAAATTAGTATTAAAATAATATTAAATTATGTTCAGAAAGATTAAATTACTTTTTCAAGTTAAAATTTATAACTTATAAATTATATTCAACCCAACCAAATATTATACACTATACCAACTTTCTAAAACTAATTCAATTAATACAAATACTTCAACATGTTAAAACCAAAAAAAAACATATATATTCACATTTTTTTTATTATACCTAGATTTCTAACCTTATTTTAAGACTTTTTACACATCATAGCTCAACCATCATTATTTTTTGAAATCCATGCAATTTTTTAATTCAAGAATTTGATATTAACATTTTTGTGTTGAATCTTGAAGATCCAAACCATCAGGAGATTTATTTGAATTATCTAAATCTCTTCGGACTAATATCATTAAACGAAGTATTTAAAGAAGAATTTTCAGCATCTGATAGCAATATCAATGCAGATTAAGAGCAAATCTGATATGCCAAATTATCTCAAAATTCTGATAAGCAAGCCGCTCATTAAAGTTGTACAATTTATCAAATTCGAATGTTGCAAAAATGAAAAACTAATAAAATTCAGCAACAAACTATTTATGAGTTATTTCTGATTTTATTGTTGTTTGCTCATAAGAGCTTCAGCCAGCGAGTATCTTTCATGTTCAAAACTGGTCATAAAATCTTATCTTATTTTTCTTTCTTTCTTGGGGTGTGGGGATTTGGTGCAAAAGTGTGAATATGAACACTTCTAATTCCTGTTTACAACTTTTTTTTT